CAGTCTAACTCACCGTCTCGCCTCACCCAAAGCAGAAATGATATCCATTTGATGATTTTCTCCCTTCAAAAAAAAGGTATATTGACATGTGATTATTGAATACCATGAGCTCTCCAAAAGCGTAAAATAAATATATTTTGTTACTTATGGCTTAACCTAACTATTTTGTTAAATTAAATTAATATGTAAATTAAAAATAAGGTATTACTACTATTGCGGAGAGTTAACCGCTATACCCCTCAAGCGATGGGGTGTAGCCGTGTAACCAAAAAACCATGTACTTACATGGCCGAGTGCCGACCCATGACTTAAAACCACATTTCTCTCCTTCCTCGTTTATTGAGTTCACCATTCACTTTTATGTGAAGTGGGTATTTCCAAAATCTTATATTAATGAAATTTCTTCTGCTCATGGTCAAGAGTGTATTTTTCCGCCAACTATTTACCTTTCTCATTGCTCATTTAATGAATGACTTCTACATTTCGTGTAAACAGTGTAACAGACTTTTTGGCTTCTCACTGTGCAGCTGATGTTAAGTAGTACCTATTGCCATAGACATTCATGAATGTGTTTCCTGAAACTGAAGGCTTAGAAGCACAGCGTACTCAGCGTAGCAGATTAATGCCTCAGTTGTTGATTGTAAGCTATTAATGTAAATTATAATAAGAAAAAATGGTTGCAACTTTTATCTCAATGCGAAAGTCGCCTAAACTGTGCCACCTTTGCTTGTTGTCTAGTTTATTTTATAGCTAGCTTTTGAGTTTCAATTTTAACATATACTACATAAGTTAGTTTTAAATATGAATAGGGATGATGACAGGGTATGAAAATTAAAAACCGAATTCAACCGTCACTTAGGTAAATATTAGACACGTGTTATTTTATTCTGTGGAAACAATACTTAGATAAGACGAATCAAAGTTTAGGACTGGGAGGTAGCTACGTCATTTTAAAGTATATATCATACTCAAAAGAGACGTCATGCGATATTTCAAACCCATATAATATGTATCTTTGAAACTTTTCGTTTCCGTAAGAAAATAAAAAAACGTGTGTAATGTTTTTAAATAATCTACCATACGGACATTAAAATAAAAATTAGTCATCTACCCAATTGTCACGACTATTGTGTAGGAAACAACACCTTTTAGCCAAAACTCTGGTGTTATGAATTTCGGTAATGCAGCCTGGACACGTACAGCAGCGTCTCTGGTACACCTGGACGCAGCAAATATTTCGGCTGGGTCGGTGCAGTGCCGCACTTGTTTTTGGATGACCTCCTTTTCTTCCTCTGAACAATGATAAAGCCATCTATGTCGACTTGCTACTTCGGCTGGGCTGGCTGTCAGCACATCTACTTAATTCCCTTTTCAGTAATATTAAATTCATTTTGCAACAAATCATTTCCAAATTAATAAATGAAAATTAGACATAATGATAGGCAGATAACTTATGGAAGTTAGAGAATTGTAGCAGAATTAATAGACTTCCTATGTGCTAATACTAGTAAAAGCAGCCACAATACACGAGCGCGATCACTATCATTTAGACACACATCAAGTTGTTGATAGGCGGACAGAATTTCAATCAAAATAGGGCTTGAAATTCATCTCACGTCGAAATAGAAAAGGGCATTACGCCATATTCTCGATCTAATTTTGCAACAAAGAAATCGTCGTTATCGCAAAAACTGAATCATGGAGTTACTAATACTTTTATCTTAAAGATAAAGTTATATTTCTCGACATCTGTAAGAGCAGCTGTCAGATAAATAAGATGCGAGATTTTTAGTTCAGGTATCTAGAACCTATTTCCTTAGAATAGTTGCAAAACGTTTTGGAAAATATGTCATGAGTTTCCGCCATGATTGGTTGCTAAGATGACGAAATATAATATCTTTCCATATTTTTCCTATTGTTAATCTTTTGATAGAGCTGTATGGAGACGGCAGAATAGAATATTACACATGCCACCGCCCGTCGCTCCCTCTCTTCTGAGAGGTTTCGTAAACCCGTCTCAGAGATTGAACCAGACTACATCTCTGACAAAGCTAACCTTTTAGAAATGATGGCAAACTGTTTAGTCTGGTTTATTTGCAAAGTAAAAAATAAAAGTTGCGGCAATTTCCTTTGTAAATCTATATCTATACTAATATTATAAAGAAGAAAGATTTGTACCTATTTTTGTATGTTTGTAATGACTCAAAAAGTACTGGGCCGATTTAAAAAAATATTTCACCAATAGAATGCTACATTCTTCCAAATTGACATAGGCTACATTTCATTTTGAAAAAAGTAGGGATCCTTGATAAAATTTGAACAATGTAACCGAAGGTGTAGAAAAACACATAACATT